GATGATGATGACGATGATGATGATGACAATGATGATGACAGTGCTGATGTTTGTCATGACGATCTTGATGGCGATGCTGATACTTATGCTGCGGATGCTGCTGATGCTGCTGATGATGCTGCTGCTGGTAATGCTGATTATGCTGATGATGGCGATGAGGATGCTGCTGCTGCTGATGCTGATGATGATGATGATGATGATGATGATGATGATGATAATGATGATGGTGGTGGTTGTTGTTGTGATGAGTGGTAATGCTGATGCTGCTGCTGGTGATGGTGCTGCTAATGATGGTAAGGTTGCTGCTGATGATGATGCTGATGCTGATGATGATAATGGTGATGCTGGTGATGCTGCTGCTGATTCTGATTATGATGAAGACGCTGCTGGTGATGATGATGATGATGATGATGATGATGATGTTGATGGCGATGATGATGCTGATCCATATACCGATTATGGTGATGACGATGACGATGATGACGATGATGCGGATGATGACGATGATGATGAATTTGATGATGCTGCTGATGATGATCATGCTGATGGTGATGATGATTCTGCTGCTGCAGATGCTGCTGACGATGATGAGGTTGATGATGATGGTGATGGCGATGATGATGATGCTGATGATGCTGATGATGTTGATGATGCGACTGATGCTGCAGATGCTGCGGGCGATGATGACGATTATGACGATGCTGATACTGATGATGATGCTGATGATGTTGATGATGCGACTGATGCTGCTGCTGCTGATGCTGATGGTAATACTGATGATGATGGTGGTGGTGGTTGTGGTGAATGGTGATGATGATGATGATGGTTGTGGTGGTAGTGGTGATGATGATGATGATGATGATGATGATGCTGATGCTGCTGCTGATGATGCTGCAGGCTATGATGATGGTGATGATGATACTACTGATGATGACGATGGCAATGATGATGCTGATGACGACGATGCTTATGATGATGCCTATGATGCTGTTGCTGATGATCATGCCGATGATGATGATGATGATGATGATGATGATGATGATGATGATGATGATGATGATGATGATGATGATGCTGATTCTGACGATGCCGCTGCTGCTGATGATGAGAATGTATATTATCATGAAGATAATAAGGATGATGGTTCTGATTATGATGCTGCTGCTGACGATGATTTTGATGGTGATGATGATGGTGATGGTGATGCTGCTGATGATGATGATGGCGACGATGATGATGTTGATGATGATGGTGATGGTGATGATGATTATCATGATGATGATGATGATGATGATGGTGATGATGATGATGATGATGATGATGGTGCATGATGATGATGGTGATGATGCTGATGATGATGATGCGATGATGCTGCTGCTGATGATGATGATGATGATGATGATGATGATGACGATGACGATATGAGATGATGATGATGATATGATGATGATGATGATGATGATGAGATGATGGTGATGATGATGATGATGATGATGATGAATGATGATGATGATGATGATGATGATGATGATGATGATGAGGATGAGGATGAGGATGAGGATGAGGAGGAGGAGGAGGAGGAGGAGGAGGAGGAGGAGCAGGAGCAGGATGAGCAAGAGGAGGAGGATGAGGAGGAGGAGGAGGAGGAGAAGGAGGAGGAAAAGAAAGACGCTGATGGATGACCAGTGTAAACCGAATACGCATCAATGATGCTGCAATGCACCCTCCAAATTCCCTCTTCAGAAGTTCTATTCAGCTGCCTCAGGCAATTTCGCCACCGTGCCAGCGCAGCCATGGCCGCCCAGGGACCTCGAGGAGTAGGGGTGGTGCTCGCAAGTGGGCGCGAAGTGAGGGGTGAGTCTTTTAGGAGACTACAGAAGCCCCGCCCGACAGCGCTGGGCATTCTTGCACGCCTCAACGTGTCAGGAGGCACGGTTCTTGTGGGAGGTGCAGTCGGATGAGAATCTTCAATCGAGCCTAAACACAGTTCCTGACACTTCAACGCAGCGAATCAACGTGATTGTTGCGTCTTGGCAACCTGAGATGCAGGCAGAACACCATTCCCCGGATTTGAGCACGGCGACCTGTGGCTATTGCGTCTTGGCAGTCGTAAGCCGCGCCCAAACATGATTTTTTGGATCCGAAAGCCGTGGATCAACGTGCCTGTTGCGTCCTGCCAGTTCTAAACCGTGCCAGGACACAATTCCTGGGACTCGAACCCTACGATCGTGAAGGCCTGACGGCCAGTGCCGCCGACCCTGAAAGACATCGACGACGACCAGGAGGGGGAGGAGGAGGAGAAGGAGGAAGAGGAGGAGGAGGAGGCGGAGATAAGGATGAAGAGGAGGAGGAGGAGGAGGAGGAGGAGGAGGAGGAGGAGGCGGAGGAGGAGGAGGAGGAGGAGGAGGAGGAGGAGGAGAGGAGGAGGAGAGGAGGAGGAGGAGGAGGAGGAGGAGGAGGAGGAGGAGGAGGAGGGGGAGGAGCAGAAGGAGGAGGAACA